CTACTTACTTGTTTACCTGTCAAAAAAAGGAAAATTAATGGGCTTCTCAGGCCACTGGGCCCTGTCACTCTGAGAGACAAGAAAAAAAGAGCAAAAGATTGAATTTGAAGAAGCCCTTCATGTAATGAATGAGGAAAGAAATAGCCATGGAAAAAAGGAGCAAAATATGTGTGATGATGACCCATTAGCCAAAAGAGAAGTTTCAAGAGATACAGAGGATACTGAAAACATCAACTGTTACTGATGTTCAAGAAAATATATAACTGAAGAAAGTATGTTCAATGACACTTAATTGGGCCATACAGAAACTATAGTTAATGTCATATAAAGAGAGAACTGTATGTGGAAGAAACAGGGAAATTATAGTACATAAAGGATTTCTTGGTTTCCCTTGCACAGTAGACGAATTATTATTTAGTATGTTCTGAAATATTCCTTGATTTTGAAATTTTTATATTTTTTATGAAGCATTCATTTCACATTAATTTATGTATGATGTGAGCATAAACACATAAACTGAGAATTTTATGTTTCAAAAATAAGAAACATAAATTTAGTTTGCCATTCTTTTTAATCATTATTCAAAACACAAGTCTAGTAGTCAATTCTTCTTACAAAATAAATTCATATTTTGTCCCCAGGAACTTTTATAAGTTCAGTTAATCAATCTTGTTTCTGTTTTTCTCCCTTTTAATGTCTTGTTTCTAATTAGCCCCCTATGTAATATCTTGAAAATAATTGAAGACAAATAACTTAAAGAAAAATCATTATTTTAAATATTGTCACTTTTAATTTCCAAAGTCTGTTTTCATGTATTTATTTACAGCATATGTTTTCTATCAAGATTTCTTGATAGAGATTGCTGTGTTTATGCTTTATTAAAATGGATAAGGCAGTTGGATACTCTAGCCAGTCCAGCAGTTCAATTTAATTAATAATAAAAGATTTCTATTAGATAATATTCCATAAATACTAAGATATCGATATATGTGAGATTCAAGGACAAGAGGTAAAGGAAATTTTATAAAACATATTTACTAAGAAAAATGTTATAACTCAGATTATTTATTAATGACACAGCTCAAATTTAAAATTACCTGAATAGAATAGCAAATACCTAAAAATTTAACATAAAAAATAAATATACCTGACTTACTTAGGTTATAGACATATCTGAGTCTCCTATACATATTTGATCTTTACTAACCTCTCAAAGTTCTAGAATTTTTAACGTATTAGGGTAAATATTACTATACTTCTTAGGGTATTTGAGAATTTTAAGCAAAATGAAGTCTGCAAAGTACTTAATTTATTAACACAAAATCTAATTAAAACACTGTAATATAATTTTTAGTATTACTAGTTGTGATATGTTTGAGTGATACTTAAAGTACTTACATACTAAACATGCTTCATTTATTCCTCTAAATTATTGTCTATAGGATTCCACACGTTTCTCTTTAAGTTCTTTGCATAACCAATGGTTGTACATTGGGACATGTTAGAAAACCAACCATTGGTTCCCATTGATAACCAGAACAGTGAGCTCCCCAGCCAAAGAACGAGCTCCGTGGGCCAGAAGATTTAAGGAAAAGTGTGGAAACTTTATTATAAGCAAATTCAGACTCCCCTCACAGAGAGGGGTGGTCAGTTATGGGATGCCCCTTAAAGCCTTGTAGTCTCGGGATATATGTTTGCCACTTGCCTGTTCTATGTCTACCTGTGTTGTCACCTGCCTGTCTCTCTCATTGTTCTTGCTCAGCACGGACCTGAACTCTCCGTTTCCACATCCTCTTTCTCTGTCCTATGCTGGACTTTTTGTTTCTGTGCCTTTATATACCTTATTGCTGCATGCAGACCCTCCCTTGTTTTCTCAAGTCTCCCACTTTGAGTCCAGAAACATTTTATTATTTCTGCTTGGTTGGTTTCTGTGATTAGGTTGCTCAAACTGCCATGTCTGCCCTGGTCTGTGTACCACCTACCTTTGTTTTCCACTGGGCCCCTGCCCTATCTGCCTACATTTCAAGTTAGCCCTCTCACCATGACCCCTCTTCTCTCATAGTTTTCTCTGACACATTTTATCACATTTTTTTCCTTTTCCCCTTTCATCTTTCTTTTTTTGTTGTGTGCTTCATAATTACCTAAAGTAAAAGATATGACACTGACTAAAAAGAATCCGCAACTACTCAAGGAGATAGAAAAACTGATTCCCTTAAAGGAATTTCAATCAGACTTTCTTCCAAATTTTTTCCTCTGAAATAATTAAAGCCCAAACTTAGCGAAAGATCATGAAAAAATTCTTAGTACTTATACACACTTAGTGAAAGTGGTTGAGCCAAGGAAATATATAGTGGCATGCACATTGTATATTAATGAATAGAATATCTAAATGAATGTGTTCTAGTGATTAAACTTTAGGGGTATGTTAATTTTTTATTTTTTATTTATTTTTGGCTGGCCAACATTTATTTTACATTTTCAATTATTTAACATCCCAATTATCCCTAGCTATAGATGGTAAATTTGACAAAATTGTATATATTTAAGGTGTCCAATATGATGGTCAAATTAATTAACATCTATCTATTCACATAGTTATTGCAGTGTGTGTGTGTGTGTGTGTGTGTGTGTGTGTGTGTGTGTGTGTGTGAATTAACATTTAAGATTTATTTTATTAGCAGATTTCAAGTACACAGTACAGTATTAACTATAGTTGCCACCGTATACATTAAATTCTCAGAATTTATTCATCTTATAACTGAAAGTTTGTACCTTTGACCAGCATCTCCTCATTTCCCATACTCTCAGCACCTGGCTGCCACCCGTCTACTCTGTCTCTGGGAGTTCTGCTTCTTAATATTCTGCATATAAATAAGATCATACAGCACTTGTCTTTGTCTGGCTTATTTCTCTTAGTAGAATACCCCCAGGTTCATTGAATAGCTATAGAGCAAATATATATTTATCTAGATGTTTCTATAGTTGATGACTTTAGAGATTTTTCATAACTGATAAAATAATATTTAAATAAACATTTTACTGCATTCTTCTGGAGTTTATAAAAGGTATACATAGAATATTTTATATAGCCTTTAAGTATTGCTATAAATTACAACACTGATTCTTACATTAGTTTTCCCCACTACATAAGGAAATAATAGCTTTTTAAAGATTTCCAAAAGCACAGATTGTTCCTAATACTGTAATACTTTTATGCCGGGGCCTAACCTTCTTGGATCATTTCCTAAAGTGCCAGGAGAAAAGTAGGCAAGCTACCGAATATAAATCTATTCCTTTATGGCGAGTTGAAAAGAACCCTGTGCAGTCCTGCAAATAGGGATCATAGCTAATGTGGTCATTTATTAACAACATGGAAACAGCTACCGAAAAGGTGATATCGTTCAAGATTACTTTCCTTTAAAAATATTAAATTTAGAGCTCTTAGCTCCTTTGATTCTAGAGATAAAAATAGTCTGCTAAGATGAACATGGGCTTCATTTGGGTGAACTCTGATTGTTGGTGGCTCACCAGGGTGTAATGCTGAGCCCTGGCATTGTAGGATAGAGAAGCATAATCTGCCATTAGCCTTGTTCTCTGTTGACCTAGCACAATTTTTCCCCTCTGGATTCTAGCTCTCCCAGTTCAGGAATGGTGGGAAAGAGACTAATAGGAGAAAAAAACGTGGGGCTAACTCTCTTGTCTCTCTGGTCTCAGGGCAAACAATAAGTAGCCTGTTTTAAATTTTTACTAAGATAATGCAGACTACTCATTCATTTATTCAGTCAACACAGCTATATTGTGCATTGATGATGCACCCACTGTGCTAGCAGATTGGTGTTAATTAGTTATAATTAGGGATAGTACCAAGCAGCAAAATTAGAGTGCCCATGATAAATAGTTTGTAGATCAGTTGTCATATATTTGATCCTAATTGAAATGCATGAGAGTTCACTTAAGTAATACATCAGAATACATATGTAATTTGAATCTAGTTTTTTGCAAAAGGATGATTAACCATTTATTCCTCATTATATCTGGTTTGCAAAGGGTCATTCTTGAAATAGTAACAAGTGCTACATTTCTCATTAAAGGGCTGACCATTGCCTGGCCAGCTTAGCTCAGTTGGTTGAGTGTTGATCTATGAACCAGGAGGTCAAGGTTCGATTCTGGTCAGGGCACATGACCGGGTTGCTGGCTTGATCCCCAGTCAGGGGCGTGTAGACAGCAGCCAATCAATAATTCTCTCTCATCATTGATGTTTCTCTCTCTCTCCCTCTCCCTTCCTCTCTGAAATCGATAAAAATATTTAAAAAAATAATAATAAAGGTGTGATGATTGAGGGGGTGAGAGTCTAATATTTGATAATAATGAAATGTATTATTTGTTAAATATCTACTATTGCTTAGGTTACAAAACCCATCATCTATACTAGTACCAGTTAAGTTATTTGGCAAGCATCTCTCCAGCTGCATCTTTTGTAGTGAATGATAGCCTCTACTGCGTGATAAAACTTGTTTGCAGAAGTAAGCACCATTGCTTACATTAAATCTAAAATAAAAATATTGATTTATTGTAAGCTAGAGTAATATCGTTGCTAGTTTTATACTTAAAAATAAAAAAAAACTATTTTGTTTATGGCGGTTTCTATTATTTCACAAGGTATTTTTATATTTGTGTCTCTTGTGAAATTGATAATGTGTGTGAAGTATTTTAAACATGAATAGGTCAGTTGTTCCAATAAAAAAATAGCAGAATGCAATACTTTAGTGTTTATTAAATCAAATAAAATTATCAGACCATACTAATTAAAAGAAATACCAATAACTTAATATTATTATGTCAGAAGCATCATTATGGATTTTGTGGTATCAGGCATGTCATTTAGGAATTACTTTTTGATTTCCATTGATTCATTAAAAAAATAAAGTAAAACAAGTATTTACTCCAGTGCATTTTTTTCTAATAAGTAACCGCTAATAAAAATGTATTATTTCTTATAGGCAATACAGCTAAGGTATATATTGAGATTCAGGATGAAAATGACCATCCCCCAGTGTTTCAGAAAAAATTCTACATTGGAGGTGTATCTGAAGATGCAAGGATGTTTGATCCTGTGCTCAAAGTTAAGGTATGAACAAATTTATTAAGATACAAAACTAAAGTAAAAGCAGAGCAGATAAATTAGAACGAATTTTTCATATAAACTAAAGCAATGTTATATGCATTAACTGAGTACTTATTCTGGTTTAAACGAAGTCTTTAACTTGGAGATATGTTAGTTTAATTAGCCAAATTAAATGCAGATTAATTAGGAGGCAAATTTTTGCATTTTATTTTTACTAACAAAAAAAAAGAACCCAAAAACAGTTTTTATGATGTTTTACATTGAATAAGATCTTAAAATTCATGTTTCTTCATAGATTTTTAATTGTAATTTTCTAATAGAAGAAATAATGTAAGTTCTGAAATTGTTTCTGTAATAGTTTTTAAATTTCACAATGCTAGTTATATAAATGTAAAATAACACTACTAATTTTAGTACTTTACTAAAAATTTAAAAAAACTTGGATATGTCGGGAAATTGCTTAGAATTTAAAAAATACAATGTGTAAGACTAAAGTTGTAAATTTTCCATTTTTCCTAATTGTCAACTATGTTTAAAGATTTTTTTAATGGTTGGCAGTACATGAAGGCACAATAGTTTTATTACTAAGAAATAAATTTATAAATATTACCTTGCACTGCGGGAAATATTTAGAAGCTGTAACATTTTAGATTCTCCATTTCAGGTTTATTTGTGTGTGTGTTTTCCTGGAAGTTCTTAGTAAATCAATTTTTAAAAATAGCTATTAACATACACACATTAAAACTAAAATTTCCTGAACAAATCCAGCTGATTGCCTACAGTTTTGCACATGAACAGGTTGCCTTTATTTCCCTATTACCAGGAGGACCATTATTAGAGTTTTTTTTTTGCATATGGTTTTATCACCTTACATACCCTAAGAAAAACAAAGATCAATCAAGCAAATAAAGCTTGTGTGTGGTGCTTACAAAATAGCTTTACCACAGTGCCAGATGCTGACTCCTGATCTGAACCACAAATGTAAGTCAATCACACTACATATATGCAACTTGCATTATGATTTCTAAGTAACAGTATTCTGGAGATGATTGTATCTTATTTTTTATTTTAGTCCCAGTAACTTTTGATTGATTCAATTTATAATCAGTAAATATATTTTGAGTACTTAAAATGTGCACTGTTCTAGAAGTTAGATATAGAAACATTCAAAAATAAATAAAGTTGCCACCCTACTAATACAAACTAGTGGGGGGAAAACACCAAATAATATATCAAGAAAATTAGTAGCTATTTAATACAGATTTATGTGGTCAAGAGAAAGACCAGTGGGTTCTTAAATTAAGAGCATTGTGAACATGCCAATATAAAGTCCATGAAGCTAGTGGGAACTTAGAGGTCATTGTAACTGAAAAAGACTGGGGATGAGATTGGAAATCTAGTTTAGGTCTATCATAAGAAATTTATTCTAGAGGGTTTAGAAAGGACATTGGCTGGTTTTGTCCACAGGGATAATATAATCCAGTATAAAGGGATTAATCTGCATGTGTGCGGGTTTGGGAGTGGAAACTAGTAGCAGTGTTAGCACACAAAAATAGAAACCACCTAATGCATTGCCTTCCAGGCAAAATTTGATAATGGCTTGAAACATAATAGTAGGCAGAGGAAATAGTGAGAAGGGAGTCAAATGTTAGCCAAAAGGATTTGCTGATGGATTCTTTGTGAGACACTAGAGAAAATAAAAGGAAAAAAAAAATGACTTAGGTTTTTGTTCTGAGTAGGTCCCCATTGCTCCCCCATGATGAGGGTGGTAGAAGTCAAGAGTGCATTTTTGGAGATTATATGTTGGTGAGGTTTTCTCAATATGCAAGCATAGTTCTTAACATGGCAGTTGGAGAAATCATTGGCCAAGATGAAATTACCTAGACAATGGGTGTAACTGAAACCAGTTTGGCTTAGTGGATAGAGTGTTGGCCTGCAGACTGAAGGGTCCCGGGTTCAATACCAGTCAAGGGCATGTACCTTGGTTGCGGGCACATCCCCAATGGGGAATGTGCAGGAGGCAACTGGTCAATGTTGCTCTTTCATCAATATTTCTGGCTCTCTGTCCCTTTCCATTCTCTCTGTGAGAAATCAATAAAATATATTATAAAAAGAAAAAAAGAAAAAAAATGGGTGTAGAGAGAAAAATCCAAAGACTATTTTCTGGGTGTACTCAGCATTTAGAGATCAGGAAGAGAATTCACTAGGAAAATACAGAATCTATTCATCACATAAAGAACAAGTGTGTAAAGACAGGGAGTGGTCACCTGTCACATGTTCCTGTGAATAGAATGTCCCTGAGGATTTTTACATGACCACATGTGATATTAATAATATAGGGGAGAAAGAAAAAAACAAAACAATAAGCCAAATGCTAGACTATTCCATTGACAAAGAGGATCATTAAAGAGGTCTGTGGATGCTATAGAAGATAATTGAGTGGGTGATATAATCTGATGATGGCATTTATTCAGAGGAATTGGTAGAAGTGGCCAAGGGGATGGAGTAATATTCTAGAAGCAGCAATTCAGAGACAGAAAGATACCCACCATCTATCTATTGCTAAGCTCTGTATTATGTAAAGTATGTGAGCCTCTGTGTGAGAAGCTGTAGAAAGTCATCGTGTCTTCTATGGGAGAGAAGTGCTGGGTGAGAGAAATCAGAAAGCAATAGTAGTACTTAGTGGATGTTGATGATGATGGTTTATAAATTCCAGAAGATCCTAGGGAAAGTTTGGCTGTAGAGGTAAAGGTGAGGAGGGAAACTGAGTCATATGAGGATGTGTAAAGGGCTACATAAGAAGAAATATCTGGGTGATGAGTGATATCTTTGGACACATGGATTTCTAAATAAATAGTGATGAGTAAACAGTATGGGATGGAATGTTTCTCTAGTATTATTGAACCTCTGCAGACCTTCTTCCCTTCAATTGATCCATGGGTTTTTCAGGCTGGGAAAAAAGGTGTTTCCCAGGCAACCAATTTCATGCAAAAAAAAATATCCTATTTAAGTTGGAGGAGAGATAAAAGTTTAGCAGTATATTGATGCAAGTGTATGCTATAATAATTCAATTAGGAAACCACAAATTGCCATGTGAATTCTAAGGAAGGAGACATTTCAATTGGGGAAAAAAATGAAAGGTTTCCTAGAGGGAAAAGAATTTGCAAGGCACAGGAGGGTAGTTAGGTTTTTACAGTGAATGTTAAATGAGGAGGATAGTCTAAGCAGAGGAAACACAATGAGCCAAATAGGCAAGAAACAATGTGCAGTGTGTTTGTGGAGCAGTGATAAGAGGCAGGTACCTTAGGAGGTGATGAGAGTCATAAATCTTTGAATGGTGAACATTTTCAAGTTCTGCCTTTAGCCTTGAAGCCTGTGTTCTTCCCCTTTCCAAATTTAATCAGAGCAAAAGTGAGTTAAGCAGTCATCGGTTCATACTTAGAGCAGCAAAAATCTTATTGGAAACAGCACCGAATCAGGGCCAGCTGACCTCTGGTGTTTGATGGAAAGATGATTTAAAAACTAGGGAAGCAGCCCAGAATTATAAAAGAGGTTTTTGTACCACTTACTATGTCGTATTGGGATAAGGTAATATTTCATTTACAATACATGCAAGTTATTTATTTATTTTTAATTCAGCATGAAATGCATATGGTAAATTTTAAATTTGTATTAAATGTAGGAAGGGGAAGAGGAGACATACTATAGAATTGACTAAGAAAGATGAGACTGACATATCAATGAATAAAACTATTTTTATTAGATTAAAATATGGATAGTGATTAAAGAATATGTTTGGGGAAAAGGCAGCACAAGGAGAGCATTATTAAAATGAATTATTCATTAAGTGAGAGTAAAAGATAGTTATTTATGTATGCTCTGAGGTGGTACACCTGATATGCTTAGAGACTTGAAAGTGTGAGAAATGGCTCACCTGCCTGAATTTCAAATGATGGACTGGGAAACAGAAGCATGATGAAAATGAGATTTTTGATAACACCCTCAAGAACAGATACCCATTGTACAGGAACACACGTGGGGCAGGAAACATAGCCTACTTATTTAGTCCCTCCTCTGGTTCCTCATTGGCTGAGTACTGTTTGATCACCTATTTCCTAATAGGTTGCCTAGATCTTGTTGTCTCCCAGTGGGTTACTTAAAAAAAAAAGGGGGGGGGTGAGCTGGGGCCTTTTCCAGTTGCTTCCACCTCCCTTTGTCTAGTGGTATCTTTCTAAGGCAAGTGCTATCACCATAAGTACAGCTCTTTCCTTCTCCCTACCCCCACATCCTGTTTGCTCTGAGGAAATTCAGTAACCACCTGGCCACCTGCTATTTCTTTTCTATGAAGATAAATCAGAGAGGCATGCTTCCTACAAAAATTCAGTTAGAAAAATATTGTATTCCCAGTGTGTGCTGAAAATACAGAGGCATACAAAACAGGCTGCCACTGTGCCCTTGTGGAGGTAACATTCTAGTAAACTAGCCCAAAAGCGTAAATAAGTAAGGCTTTTATTTAGACACCTGGTTTCAGACTCAAAAATTTGAATGTACATGTCATGATGAGTAATTCTAGGGTGGTGTCTAAAGGACATAGAGCAAAATAATTAATTTGGAAATAACCTCTATATTTACTATTGTTTTATTTTGATACCTCACAACTGGATCCAACAAATTTTCATTGTGGGAAGAAGGAAAAAAATATCAAATGGTAATATTTCTCTTTAGTCTGTAATATAAGAATTGACATCGTTTATACTATAAGTATCAACCTTATTTATCTCCAAAAAATTTGAAAGCAGGGACTTGAACAAGTGTTTATATATCCCTGTTTATAGAAGTACTAAAGGCCTGGTGACAAATTCCTGTACAGGTGGGGTCCCTGAGTCTGGCCAACAATCGGGGCCCATCAGGGCTGTCTAGCCAGCAGGAGGGACAGTGGGAGGTTGGCTGGTCTGCCCCAGGAGGTTGGTTGTGGGAGCACACCGACCACCAGGGGCAGCTCC